GATGTATTCCTTTGACTAACGCTACACTGATCATGTCATTTATTAAGGAAAGAAACCATGTTGTGCATCTACAAATAAGAAATGTCCATAAAGAAAACAAAAATTACCTTATTAGATAATTTCCTAAAATCTTAACACATTAACAGTCATTAAACACCTATTTACATTTGTTAACCAAATACCACTAAGAAGTTTTACATTGCAATACCCAATAAAGTTGATTTATATGTACTCTGCTAAAATTAGAGCTTTTCAGTTAATGCTTGAGTGTTTTTCATAGCCTGGCATTGCTCAGCACCCTTGAATTTCCTTCTGTTTATGTCTACTGGCCTGTCCCTGATGTGATTGAACCTCAGATCCACATTCTACCTATAAATTTGAAAGTTCTTTACTTGATACTCTGAGTAAAGAAATAATATTATGTCAACCTTACCTTTTAATTTGTCTTGTGTCCCTGCTAACTTTTAGGAAGGTTAGACGTAGCTGATGAATCACGTCCTCATGTACTTAGTTCAGCTAAAGAAGAAAAATTCACATTTTTCATCTAGTCATATAATTAGGGGTGTAAAGAGCCATTTTTATAACTTATCAGAGGATACTTTGATGTCATTACTCACCACCCTACCAATTTACCTTTTCATTACAGCAGAATTCTCTCATGGAAGAGAAATATCTGTAATTGCCATGGATTTTCTCATCGCGCCTTATAAACTATTTGCTTATTCTTTAAGGTCAACCTAGATGTCTAAATTGGAAAATTTGACTATCTTGGAAGTAATTGATCATGTAGAAACATTTAAAAAGTTACATGTTAATTTCATTTAGGTCTATCAATGACACATTGTAAAATCTGAACATTGAGAAACTAGGAGATTCAAAAGAGAAAAACAGTATTTCAATTCTAAAATATTAAGACATAGGTTTTTTTGGTTGTTTTATACCAAGAGGCCAAATGTGACTAAATTGTTTATTATCATGAACATGCTAAATAATGTTTCTTTGCTTCAGAAAAGTTCTGGAAAAGGACAGTAGTTTAAATTTAGCCATTGTGGTTGGGGTCATAGAATTATTTGAGGCTTTAGAACAAGAGCTTTTAAGGATAGCATTTATTGCCACTAGGTGGGGGACCTAATCAGTAATAAGACTCTCTGCTTAGCTTTCAGTTTGGAAACTGACAAACACAAAATCTCTTTTTAGTAGACCTGTCCACCCTAGCCTTACGGGTCCAAATATGTGTAGAGGTGTGGCATAATCGAGCCCTTGCTCTACTTGACACCTGTGCCCATGGCAGCGTGCAGCAAGAACAGATCCTCACTGCTTGGGTGGGTGAAAGGAGGAGGTGTGATTTCGGTGGAGTTCAGCTCTTTTATAGCCCTTCACCACTGTTTACATAGCTGTATCTTGAGGGTTTGAAGTACAGCTAAATCTTCTGTCAACTTATTTTCTGACTTCTAATTTTATTTTATTTTTTTTAAGTATAACAATGATAGATTTAAGAAAAATAAGTCACATTGCCCAAGAGTTGCTGGTAAAGTAATTTACAATTGCTTTTAAATCAGGAAGCCATTTCTAGAGCTGTACCCTCAGGGTGGTTGCAGCTGCCCTGCCTGCTAAGGAAAGAAATTGGTTTTAAGGATTTTTAATTCTTTGAATTCTGTTCCTTCTTCTGTGTCCTCTAGTGAACTTCATCAATAATATAGTCAATACAACAATTTTAAGTAGAGAGATAGAATGAATTCAGTCTATGGTGTGGGAGAAATGTCTTCGCATCACTTTAGACCACTCTCCCAACTGAGATTCCAGCATTCTTCCTCTCTATACTCCAAACATAAGTGTTTGATGATCAGTATACATTTTTATGATTACTCTTTTCCACTTACTTAAACACAGTGTGCTTTACACTCAGTCATTTGTACCTGTCCTCTACTCTGTCACTCATAGCCCAATATCACATTATTGTATTTTTTTGTACTATATAACTACTCTCTTAGACCTGATGCTTATTTGCTGCAGTTAGTGTATCTTCTGTGGTCTGATCTTTATTATGTTAAATTTTTTATGAATTTTGATTTATTGTGTAAATTCTAATTTCTATAACAGCAGGGATTTTCTCAGTCTTCACGTGCCCTTGATTTAGCCTAGAGCCAAGTACATACTAGAAACTCATTGTTTATTGTTTGCTTAGTTTTAGATAAATTGATGGAAGGTTTTCCTTGTGATGAGTGTTTTGGAACGAAAATATTTAATTATTCTGAGTTTCCTTAAGATTAAGTTTTGACAATGAAGAGACATACTGTTAATAATGAAAATCTGTACTCATTCTTTTGTTGAAAGGGATACTGCATTATAAGTGCTCAAAAGTTACTTGTATCCTATGAATAGGAGTAAGTATCCCAAACATATGACACATACAGGCTTTAAATATTATAACTATGACTTCTACCAAACTCTGAAGAGCAATTTGTATTTAAATGTTAAACTAAACTAGATGTTAAATGCCTGAAAAATTATAAATATGTTAAAGGTTGTTGCAAACATACAAAATATAAATAGTAGGACAGTATTAGTAGTTTTTCTGTTTGGATTATGTGTCTCAGAGTTTAAAAAGAAAAAGAAGAATTTTTTTCCTGTACTCAGTTTCAGAAGGCATTAGATATTAATGATGATGCACTGTTTATTATATATAGGTAACATTTAAATCTTATGTCTGTAATACAAATGCAAATACAAAATACTGCAAAACTTTGGCAATGTTACTTAACCCATTTGAGCCATGGGGTTTTTTGTTTTCGTTTTTTTCTCATGGAAAGAGTAATATCTTATATTTTAGGGTGAGGACATCTGTCCTGGCAACTTTTATGTCATTTTTGCCACAAGCTGGAATCATTTTGGAAAAAGGAACTTCAATTGAGAAAATGCCCCCACCAAATCTATTGTGAAGAGACACCAGGATCAAGGCAACTATTATAACAGGAAACATTTAATTGGGGCTTGCTAATACTTTCAGAGGTTTAGTCTACTGTCATCATGTTAGGGAGCATGTCAGCATATAGATAGCCCATTGGAGCAGTAGCCGAGAGCTACATTCTGATCAGTAGGCAGAGTTAAAAGCCCTGGGCCTGGCATGGGCTTTTGAAACATTAAAGCCCACCCTCAGTGACACACTTTCTCCAACAAGGCCCCACATCTACTCCAACAAGACCATGCCTCCTAATCCTTATAATCCTTTCAAACAAGTCTACTCCCTGGTGACTAAGCATTCGATTATATGAGTTTGTGGGGTGCCCTTTTTCTTCAAATCACTACAGCAAGACTGTGGCACATGTTCTTGATAGATCATGTGGAGCGCCCAGCACCACACCTGAGTGCTGTGTAACAGCAGACTGTATAAGCCGTAAAGAGCCAGCCAGTAAGTAGTACTCCCCCATGGCCTCTGCATCAGTTCCTAACCTCCAGGTTCGGCCTGGAGTGTCGGCCCTGATTTCTGGGATGATGTTGTCAGTTAAAATAAACTCCCCCCAAAGTTGCTTTTGTTCATGGCATTTTATCACAGCAACAGAACAACATCTAAAGCACAGAGCACAGTGTTACCTGGCTCAGTAGCATCTGATCTGCATCTTGTGTTCTGTTGGTTTTGTTCCTCCTCGTGTTGTAAAGTATTTAATTGAACAACATACAGAAAGTTTTTTCTTCATTTTATGTTGTAATACATTGTAGTGTTTCTAAGAAAGCCATTCTCGTTTGTTTGTTTGTTTGTTTTTTTGTTTTAGTGCAGTTTAGTTGGTTGGGTTTGTTATTTAGAGACACAGAGAGAGGGAAGAGGAAGGTAGAGAGAGACAGGAAAAAGAGAGAGAGGAGGGAGAAAAGAGAAGAAAAATGAGAGGGGAGGGGAAGGGAAGGAAGCGAAGAGAAGAGAAAATTTCACTATGTAGATCATGGTGGCCTGAAACTCACAGAGATCCCCTGTCTCTACTTCCCATTAATGGTATGCAACATCATGCCAAGCAACTCTTTTGTATTGCTTCTGAGACTTTGTTTTCCATTTTAACTGTGCATATTTGTGCTTATCTGTCATATGGACTTAGGCACATGAGAACAGTGGCCTTGGAGACCGGAAGAGGGCTTTGGGTCCCTTGCCAATGGAGCCACAAGTGTTTGTGAGCCAGCCCCACGCGGGTGATGGGAACCTAACTGCTGATGTTCTGCCAGAGCATAAGCATTTCTAACCTTCTTACAGCTGAGCCATTTCGCCGTCCTCTAGTGTTCTTAGTCTCAAGAGTGAGCCAGTCAGGCTCAATTTTGGAAAAAGATCTTGTCAGTATTGTAATAAGAATGTTTCAAAGAAATTGAAGGAATTTTTATTTTTAAAAATAATAACTTTGGAAAGATAACAATGTTTGACATTAATCTTACAAATATATTGGGACATAACTAGTTGAAAGTGTCAATTTTCCTAAATTTTTTAAAAGAGTATCAGTAAATAATAAAACATTACCATCATAACTAAGGCAGAGTAGTAGTATTCCAAATAAAACCATTTGAGCAAGCTTTTTCAAAAATGAAGATTTTTAGCTAAAATTTTACATAAATGTTTGCAATAATGATGGGCCACTGTCCTGCATGGTAGCACAGGTAGCAGTTCTGTGTGGCACTGTGCATGTCTCCAGAAGAGAATTTAGGCAGAAGATAACTGAGGCATGTTTTGAACATGTTTTAAAACATTGCCAGTCCTTGAGCCCTCAGAACCCTGCGCATGCTTTGATTTTCATAGCCCCACTTTTGAAAATTAGTCACAGAACATTTCCTAACATATATGAGACTCTGGATTCTTAAAAATACGAATAGGAGAGTATAATAGCCTACTACCCTAAAGCGTAGGTTGATTGACTTGCCTTAAAATATAAAGCAAACTCACTGAGAGAAAATTTAAGTTTTTTTATTAAGTTGCACCTTAGCAAAGTCACGGATTTTGGTGTTATCTTTTATCTTCTTTGAAACAGGTAGATCGCCACTTGAGAAAGCTGGACCAGGAACTGGCTAAGTTTAAAATGGAGCTGGAAGCGGATAATGCTGGAATTACGGAGATATTAGAGAGGCGTAAGTTAACAGTTACGGTTTCCCATTTGTCTTGGCGAGTAGTTTCCCCACAGAAGCCTGTACACTGTGTGTGCTCTTCGGTGACGGTGGTGTCCGGGTCCCGTAACTTCTAATGTAGCCTTGATGTCTTTGGGTTGTAAATGAGGAGAGATGTCACTCCACTCGCTCTTTATGGAAATAGCATACAAAGCCTTGCCGTTTTTTTTACTGTTTTCACTTTGAGATGGATCTTGCTATAAAACCTTGCTGCCTCAGCCTCAAGAGTACTGTGCTCCCTCCCCCTTCCTTCCAGTCCAGCTCTCAGATATCCCCTCCTGCTCCTCTCCTTCCTCTCAAAGAAGGTGGGGGGTTCCCTCAGGGGAACCAACCCACCCTGGCACCTCAAGTCACAGCAGGGCTAAAGTGCATCCTTTCCCACTGGGGCCTGACAAGGCAGCCCAGCTAGGAGAAAGGATCCAAAGGCAGGCAACACAGTCAGAGATGGCCCCTCCTCCCCTTGTTAGGGACCCACGAGATGCCCAGGCTGCACATCTGTTACACACGTATGGGGGCCTAGGTCCAGCCCGTGCAAGCTCTTTGGTTGGTGTTCAGTTTCTCTGAGCCCCCGTGGGCCCAGGTTAGCTTACTGTATGGGAGGTGTCCTTGACCCCTCCAGCTCCCTCAGTCCTTTTTCCACTCTTCAATAAAATTCCCCAGGCTCAGCCTATTGTTTGGCTGTGGGTCTCTGCATCTGTTTTCATGAGCTGCTGAATGAAGCCTCTCAGAAGACAGTTATGCCAGGCTCCTGTCTGCAAACATAGCAGAGTATCATTAATAGAGACAGGGGTTGGCTCTCTCCCGTGGGGTGGGTCTCAAGTTGGGCCAGTAATTAGTTGGGCATTCCCTCAATGTAGGCAGGACAGATTTTAAGTCGAAGGTTTTACGGGTGGGTCAGCATCCCCCTCCCTCCACTGGAAGTCCTACCTGATTACAGACGGTGGCCACTTCAGGCTCCATACACCCAGATGTTAGGAATATCAGCTAAGGTCACCCAATAGAGTCCGGGAGGTCTCCCATGTCCCAGAAATGATTCCCCACCCATTTCCTTTCTCTCTTCAGGCCCTCTCCTCCTGTCTTCTCTCCCCTGCTCTCCCTAGATCTGATCCCAACCTCAGTTACCCTCCCCACCCCCTCTCCCACATAGCTTTCTCCCTTCATCTTCGGATTTCTATTTTATTTTTTCTGAGTGAGGTTCAAGCATCCTCCCTTGGGCCCTCCTTGGCTTCTTTGGGTCTGAGGATTGTAGCATGGTTACCCTGTACTTTATAGCTAATATGAAGTGAGTTCATATCATGTGTGTCTTTCTGGGTCTGGGTTAACTCACTCAGGATGATCTTTTCTAGTTCCATCCATTTGCATGCAAATTGCATGATATCTTTGTTTTTAATAGCTGAGCTATTTATACAGTAATATCTTTGTTTTTAATAGCTGAGCTATTTATACAGTAGCTCCATCGTATGAATACACCACATTTTTTCTATCCATTCTTTGGTTGAGGGACATCTAGGTAGAGGGACATTCTGGCTGTTTGAATAAAGCTGCTATGAACATAGTCGAGCAAGTGTCCTTGTGGTATGGTGGAGCATCTTTTGGATATATACCTAGAGGTGGTATAACTGGGTCTTGAGGTAGAAGTATTCACAGTTTTCTGAGATACTTGCAGATTGATTTCCAAAGTGGCTGTACAAGTGTGCACTCCCACCAGCAATGGAGGAGGGTTCCCCTTGCTCAGCATACTCACCAGCATGTTGTCACTTGAGTTTTTGATCTTAGCCGTTCTAACCAGTATGAGATGTGATCTCAGAGTCATGTTGATTTTCATTTCCCTGATGACTAAGAACACTGAACCTTTCTTTAAGTGCTTCACAGCCATTTGAAATTGAGTTACGATGCTCTAACAGAACATGTTCTATGCGTTTACCAGCCAGAACTTATTCCTGTTTCTCCTGCCATATAGTGGGTTTCATGACTCCAAGGTACCTAAGCTCTATGTTTCCGCAGACATGTGAGGTCAGCTGGAGAAGCCAAGCATGTGTCTGTGGCGAGAACTGCAGCTTTGAATTTAAAATTAGACCATCACTTCACAGAAGTAACTTCTTTATGGTGGTTCTTTTATTCTGGAGGAAAGCTATGTGAGAATAATAGGTATTTGGTAACAAAATGAAATGTATAACTGCCTTTGAAGTTTTTCCTCTTTTCTTTTGAAAACGCTGGTCGTAGCTGTGAATAACAAAACCCACGCCTCCCTACTCACTGCTGCAGGGATGTTAATAAAACATCCACTCCAAGGACACACATGACATGGAACTAGATCCCATTATAATAACTGCTCCATCCTGCCCCCTGACATAATTTTATCTCAAGGGATCAAGAGTAAACTCAGAGAGTTTCTTTAGAAGTGTTTTAAAGTTTGATATTTGGAATTATACCCTGTACTTTTTGAAACCACAGCCCTGAGCTCTTTTTTGTTGTCAGTATCGCATTTAATTTTCGAGCTTGAAAGAATTGCTTTGTATGCAGTAATATCACCATCATCTAGACTTTTAGAAGTACCTAGTGAAAGGTGTTCAATTCGGTTACTAGACTGAAATTTTGAGATCTTCCCATTAATAAAGCTGTACTGTCCCTTTCCCTGTTTGTGTGGTACCCAGTGTCAAAGGTTAGATATTAGCATGTTCTGGCTGTTGTATATGTGAAGGCGAATCCTGAGAAATGAGTCTTCCTGCTTAGAGGGAGGGTTGTTTGGGACGAAACTGAAGGTGGACACTCCTTGCAGGTCCGGCTGAAATGTTATGCACCAGAGTTTGGCAGTCATCTGAGGGGCCACATTGAGTATGGCTGATGTGTAAAGTTGTATGGTGGTGTTTAATCTGCCTTGTCTCTGCGCCTCTCTCTAGGATCTTTGGAATTAGATGCTCCTTCCCAGCCAGTGAACAATCACCATGCTCATTCACATACTCCTGTGGAAAGTAAGTTTGGCCCCAGTACAAATTAAAACTTGTTAATGTCACCTATCTGTCCTCTTTTATTAGCTCCACATAACCAGTTGAGAACTATCCTTCCCTTCCCTTTATCAGTTTACTTATAGACTTTTCCAGTTAAGGAAAGTATATTTAATTTGGGAACAGGCAGTCTGTTCTCCAGACACAGAGGCAGAAAATAGATAGAAATAACAGCAGCACCTGTCTGCTTCCTACAGATCTAGGAAGTGTTATAATTGATGTGAACTATATACTTCTTTATGCAGGCCCATCTCTTTTAGCTTTATTTCTCTGTGCTTATCCTAATATTTGACACGTGATAACTCTCACCGTTAGTGAGTTAGTGAATAAAGGAATTCTGGGATGTGTGGCTAATTGATGGTGTTGCTATTTTTTTTTTTTTTGATAAGTCAATTCAATAGGACAGAGGGTTAAACTAAAAGTACTTCTAATTGATAGACAATATATTGAAATGGACGTCCTCTCATAGTACTTGCAAAACTGTGGTACATCATGGGTTGTCTTTAGTAATTGGCTTCGAAAGTGCTTGCAATGTCTAGTCTCTCAGTGAAACACATGACAGTGTTCCCTCCTTGATGAGCCCATTTCATAAGAAACCTAGATCATAACTGCACAAGTTTATAAAAGGGTGGAAGTATTATGCTTTGTCTGTTGTCTTCTGAAGTTTAAAATTGTGTGAATTCTTTCTTTTTATTCAGAAAGAAAATATAATCCAACTTCTCACCATACAGCAACAGATCATATCCCTGAAAAAAAATTCAAATCTGAGGCTCTCCTATCTACCCTTACATCTGATGCTTCTAAGGAGAACACACTGGGTAAGTTTGTTGTCTTAGATGTGGTAATTAGCTTGTTTTGTTTGTGTTGGAATAAGGGAACAGAGACGCACTCAGAATTTTAATGCATACATATGTTACCTGTTTAAAGTCTACAGGTGGAGAAAAGAAAAAGGAAAATTGGCTTCCATTTCTCAGTTGACTCAATCCCTAAAAGTACATGAAGAATTTAAATTTAATGATTTTATATATATATGGTTATAATGATTATATATATATTATATATATAATATATATATAATCATTTATTTTAAACTCAGTAATGTTATTTCTCTGCAACCATTTTTATTTCTTTACTTCTTTATAGGTTGTCGAAATAATTCTACAGCTTCCTCCAACAATGCTTACAATGTGAATTCATCCCAACCCCTGGCATCCTATAATATTGGCTCATTATCTTCAGGGACTGGCGCAGGGGCAATCACCATGGCAGCAGCTCAGGCAGTGCAAGCAACAGCACAGGTAAATAGAGCTTTACAGGCAAGGGTTACAGTTTATTCCCACCATTGGCAAACCCCAATAAGAACTATTAGGTATGAACAAACAGAGGTTTCAGACATCGTGTGGTTTGAGTTTGAAGCTGAACTTTTAGATCGATGACGTTTATTAATATTGCACAGAAGTTGTTGGCTACAGTGGTGCACCACTCAGTCCCACGCTGACCCTTCTTGCAGTCGGTACACAGTTACCTTCCTGTCCTTCTGAGGACAGTTGCTGTTCTTTCTGCGCCGCCGGGGCTTTCTGCTGGGTTTGTGTTGGCTACAGTTCGCTCATTTCTGTAGTTTGTAAACAGTGCAAGTTAAGAAGTTGCGTTTCCCATGGTTATTCTCAATTTAGCGTGAAAATGATTTTCAATCTTTATGTGAAATGACTTAAATAACCATAAATTGTAACACTTAAAAGAGAAACTATGTCAGAGACAGCTTCCGTACTCCTTACTAGAAAACCCACGTGCACATTGAGCAGCCAGTGGGCTTCCTTTGAACAGTGGGTCTAAGTCCTCTCCATGCATGGTCCTTGGTTGGTCTCCACAGGACCCCCTGGGCCCAGGTATTTTGACTCTGTCATTCTCCTTGTGGAGTTCCTGTCCCCTCCAGGTCATTCTATCTCCCTGTTCTTCCATAAGGATTCTGGCACTCTGCCCAAAGTTTGGCTATCAATCTTGGCATCTCCTTCAATACCCTGGTGGGTAGAGTCTTTTAGAGGCCCTCTGTGGAAGGCTCCTGTCCTGTTCCTTATCTTCTCCTACTTCTGATGTCTATACTGTTTGCCCTTCTGAATGAGGATTAAGCATCTTCCCTAGCGTCCTCTTTGTTGTTTAGTTTCTTTAGGACTATAGATTTTAGTATGTTTATCCTGTATTATATGGCTAATATCTACTTATGAGTGAGTATATACCATATGTGTCTTTCTGTGTCTGGGATTCCTCACTCAAGATGATCTTTTCTAGTTCCCACCATTTGCCTGCAAATTTCATGATTTCCTTGTTTTTAATTGCTGAGTTGTATTCCATTGTGTAAATGGACCACGCTTTCTGTGTCCATTCCTTCGTTGAGGGACATCAAGGTTGTTTACAGATTCATGAACTCAGTGGCTGGCTCTTTGATCACCTCCACCTGTAGGGGGCAGCCTTGCCAGGCCACAGTGGAAGGTGATGCAGCCAGTCCTGATGAGACCTGATAAGCTAGGGTCAGATAGGAGGGGAGGCAGTCCTGTCCTATCAGGGAACTAGGGGAAGAGCACAGGGAGAGAAGAGGGAGGGTGAGTGGGACTTGGAGGAGACAAGGGAGGGGACTACAGCAGAGATACAAAGTAAATAAAGTTAAATAAATAAATAAAATTAAAAAGAAAAGAGAGAAAATATGTATTTACCTCTATTAATGCTCTCCATGTATGCCTACTTAAGATGAAAGAAGGACGAAGAACATCAAGTTTAAAAGCCAGTTATGAAGCATTTAAGAATAATGACTTTCAGCTGGGAAAAGAATTTTCAATGCCCCGAGAAACAGCTGGCTATTCCTCCTCATCGGCACTCATGACAACCTTAACCCAGAATGCCAGTTCCTCAGCAGCCGACTCACGCAGTGGCAGAAAGAGCAAGTAAGTTCTGTCACGGTAGCGTGTACCTTTGCTCGGTACTGTTTGCATGAGCCTTATCTGTGCCTCCATGAATTAATCCAGACAGCGTGCAGTGGCCCAAGCTGAACACCAGGGTAGGCAGACAGCCCTTTGTGCCACCTTACCTTGAAGGCAGGAAGTCTTTCAAATGTTAGTCATTTGTAATTTTCTGAGTTTATGTATAAATGATTTCTTTTTACTTTCATTTTTTTTTTCAGATAAATTACTATTGGTGTTTGATGGTAAATTAATATATAGTGCAAATTGTATTCCAGGAATTTTTTACACAAAATTTTTTGTTTTGATTAATAGTAAACTATCTGAATTTTTGTTTACATTTCCAAAACTGTTTATATGACAATATCCCTAGACTTGATATGTGAGATACTTAGGACGATTGTATAAACTCTGGAAATGAAAACTGTTCATCACATGCCACACTGTTCATCTGAAGTAATGAGTATCCTGGGAATTTATACATACAGAGAATGCACACCAGGCATGATGATGCTCTGTAAGCACTTAAAAGACAGGAGGATTACCTCAGATCAAGGCCAGCTCAACCTACATAGAGAGATCTGGCCAGTCAGAGCTAGGGAGGCGACTGTTCCTGTTATCTGAACAGGAAAATGGAAATGCTGGGCCAAATGCATTAGTTACCTAGTAACTATTAGGTTGAAAAAAACATTAAAAAATAATTTTCTTTTTAAATGTATTACTTTTCTACAGAAATTCCTGAAAGAAAAAATATCCAAAGAACTACTACACATCTTAAAATTGATATTAATTGCCCAAATTTAATGAACTCCTTTTAATAAGTTTCTGCATTTTAGCACTTTAGATTTGGAGGTAAAGACTTTGTGAATTTTGACACTCACCTCTATCTTATGGACTTGGTAGGCATAGGACACATGACAGCTGCTGTTAGAAGGATTTTTACCACATACTTTCGTATATTTTTTTTTAGGTTTTGGTGAGAAGTATTCGATTAACAATAAAAATAGAAAGTCTGTGAGATAGTGCAACTACTATTCTTGAATAGCACCAAAAGTTTTAAGTCAACAGTAGATAGTAACCTTAATTTAGAAATTGATTCTAAAAGTTGGAAACCTTTTAAGAGAATTTTCTTGTGTTTATTTTAAATAGAAAATTTTAAGAATGTTTTCTTCTCGATACTTGTATTCCCCAGAAACAAACACTGTAGCATAGCATCAGACATCAGTGTGCCGCTAGGAGTCACTCTCAGGGAACCTCTGTCATAGCAAAGGAAGTCGATCTTTTTTTAATTCTTTCAGAAACAACACCAAGTCTTCAAGCCAGCAGTCCTCCTCCTCTTCTTCCTCCTCTTCCTCCTTATCTTTGTGTTCGTCATCATCAACTGTCGTACAAGAAGTTTCCCAGCAAACAACAGTAGTGCCCGAATCTGATTCCAACAGTCAAGTTGATTGGACTTACGACCCAAATGAACCTCGATACTGCATCTGTAACCAGGTAAACGTCTGCTGCGCATCTATATAAGTGCGCTCTGAATAGATGGATAACTATCAAAATCAGCACATTTTATTCTAGCTAAAGTCAAGGGAGATTGATGTGCATCTTTGTCTTATTAAAGTAGCATGTTTGCTATAAATACTAAGAATGTAAAGAAACATGAACTACATATAATGTCAGCTTTCCCATACAAGCTGTGGTGAGACACTTTGATGTCACAGCCTTATTTACCTTGCATGCCATGCGTGTGCCACTATGTACATGTTGGCTAATGTAATATACCACTGGCCGTGTGGCTCACACAGCAGAAGTTCATCTCCTCATGCTGGGAAATGCATGATTAAGGAGCTGATTCGTTAGGTTGTTGGCAAGGCCACTCGTTAAGTGTGAAGACAGATGCCTTTTTACTGAGTGTTTATGAATCAGAGAAGGAGACCATATCGTACAGATATGCAAGCATGTGCCAAGCTCAGCGTTTCTCTGACAGCCACTGGAGCCATCAGACTTCAGCTTTGCTTAACCATATCTGCTCCTCACAGGCACGCTCTTCAATTAGAGGGTATGACTTCAAAACAGGAATGTTAGAGAGACAAGCATTCATTCCATAACAGATATGTACACATATATGTGGATGTGATATGTTTGTATGACAGTGAGTTCAGTATAGTCACAATATGTACTTTTTTATCACTGTCCTTTGCTTACTAAAAAAAAAGGTTCTTTTAAAACATTTTCAAAATTAGCTCTTATTTTATATCATCATCTATTTAGTCCATTCCTAGCTGTAGATTAGTATAATTCTCATTTCTTTTGTTATAAATATTATAATAAGCATTTTAATGTAATTTCTGTAATACTTTTTATTAATCCATTTAAATACAATGATGTCATAAATGTTTGATAAAGTCTACCAAGGTATTTCTAAAAATGTATTACCTAAAACTGAGAATGCATAGTGTTTCCTAAATCCCACTCTAACACTTAGTATTATTTTAGCTTAAAACCTATGCTCCAGTTTGAAACTTTTGTATCACATGATCGTTTTAGTTGGTTTTAGTACTGGGGCCTTTAAAAAAAAAACACTTTTTAATTCTTCTAAATTAACTTCTGGCAGACTTGGTTACATTTGTTGTTGGTTTTGGTATGTACACTCTTAATGTTTTGAGAGACCCTGTCTCAAAAAACTATGTGTAGAGTTATAGATGAAGACACCCAATGTCTTCATCTGTTCTGTGCTGGCTTCAGTAGGCAGATTCAGTGAAATGGTCTGTTGGTGCAGAAGTGACCCAAGAGGAAGTAAAATCCATCAGTTGGATAGCCAGAAAGAAGCACTATAGTTTACCACGAGGATCACACCATTCAGCTGGCTCCCAGTCAGGCTTGCCTGCCCAGCGAATTCTTTCAGACTTCCAAAGAGTGGCTGGTTTCTGGGCATATCCTTTTGCCTTGTCCCATAGTCTTTTAAGAAAGACAACAAGAAAAGCCACCATATTCCAAATTTCATCTTAATGTATGTTCAGTGAGTTTCTGTTCTGACATCATGAACACCTGGTTTAGATTAAATGGATGGTACATAGTTATAATGTTTATCTAATTTTCTTTCCTCTAGGTATCCTATGGCGAGATGGTGGGATGTGATAACCAAGATGTGAGTGTTCATTTTTATTTTGAAATATAAAAATTTGTAGATAATTGAGTGTTTATCGTATTAACTGTATCTCCAGTCTGGAAATCAGGTTTTCTTCTGTCATAACTATACCATCTTGATAGAAGTGTCTGCACGCCCACAGCAGCATTGTGTCCCTTAATGAGGTCCCTGCTTAAGTCCCTAAGGAATGCTTTGGAAGTTCTAAGTGCTTGCCTTTTTTTCTGCTAAAGATACTGTATTTGCTAGAGTTCAGGCCGTTTATCACAGTGAAGAAATGAGACTTTAATTCCCTAAGCTCTTTTAGTCAAATGATACTGGGGGATAATTAAGACCTAATGTGGGATTATTTCCCTCTCATCATTGCAGCATTCGGCATTCCCTCCTCCACGCTGTACAAGCCATCTCTGATGGGAAATGAGAGATTTGCAGGAAGGATTCCTCCTTCCTGTCTTAGGAAGTATATTAGTTACTTGATAAGAATGCCCTGACAACAAGCACTTTAAGGCAGAGAAGAGTTTATTTTGGCTTATAGTTCAGAGGGGAGCAGCCCATCCTGGCAGGGGAGACATGGCAGCAGGAATGTGAGGATGGCCTGGCAGTCAGGAAGCCATCTGATCCTATTTCACCCACAGCGGGGAGGCAGAAAGTGAGGCAGCAAGTAGAAGTGGTAGCAGGGTAGAAAACCTCAACTTCCCCTACCCCACCCCAGGGAGGTACTTCTAGCAAGGTTCCCTCTCCTAAAAGTCTAGACACTTCCTAAACCGTGCCACTAGTGGGGACCAGCTGTTCAGATACGCCAGCTCATCAGTGGAACCAGTGGAGTTTCATGTTCAAACCACAAAAGGGATTTCATTTTGGATAAAGATATGTGTTTGACTAAATGCTGAGCAGATTTCTGTCTAGTGGTTTTAGGCCGTTCCATAACTGTATTACAGCAGCCTCTTTTCCTTCAAAGGAGTAGCATGAAATCTATGACAGTGGTGACACTAATGGTGTCAGAATTCCAGTATAACAGCATTTGTCAAGTAATCTAAAGAATCACAGACATTGGCTTACTACTGTGGCAGTTGTGAATGTTCCTTCCCTGGCAGGGTTGGTGCAGTGTGCTCTTTAGGACACAGGTCCTCTCCGCCTGCCCTGTGCAGTCACGTGTGTGTTTGGGGAGGGAGCTTTAATAGGGCTAACTGTTGTGTTATCTTCATGGTAGCTAGTCTGTGTCCTCTGGGGTTCTCTGGTTTCTCCTGTGCTCTTGTGGCTATGGAGACTTCCTGTGGACTAAAGGATTTCTGAATCTTTCTGAGAGGAGGATTTCTCTCCATATCTCTGAATAGAACTCCAGAAAGGAAGCCCAGCTGCCCCACGTGATGTCTTTAGTTACAGCCAGCTCATTCCACTTCCTAAGACAACAGTTACGGGGGGATATTTTTAAATCTTTAACATAGTTTCCTTCTTTACCTAAGATTTGTCTTCTTTGTCTTGGAAGATGGTACTGCGTGGCTGTCCAAGTTGATGACAGTGCGTGAATGTTCATTCTTTAGTGTTCAGGTAATAGAGTCCGTGAGCCTCCTTTTTATCAAAGATGCATCCTTTTTCTGTGCATCCATTTTTTTCACCCATGAGGTAAACGAGTTGGACTCAGTAACATCTAAGTCACTGCCAGGATCCAAGAAATTTGATTGCACAAACCTAATTTTGGTTAAATGAAATACTGTGTCTCCTGAGCATGCCCCCCTCCCCATCTGTTCTGTAGAAGTACCAACCTTTTTTGTTTTGCTTTTACCTTTTTCTTTCTAGTGTCCAATAGAGTGGTTCCACTATGGGTGTGTTGGCTTGACAGAAGCACCGAAGGGCAAGTGGTACTGCCCACAGTGCACTGCGGCCATGAAGAGAAGAGGCAGTCGGCACAAATAGAGATGCTTCGCCGCAGGATGGAAGGGCTTCAGCTCGATGTTTTATACAGGACTCTAGAAAGGAAGACACGAGAAAGAAGAAACAACTCATTTCCAGGCAACCACTTAGAGGATTCACATAGACAATCCTATAAGATCTTGAACTTGAATTTTATGAGTTGTATTTTAATAATGTAAGTAAATTATTTATGCACTCCTGGTGTGCTATGAATATTATTCCAGTTAGCCTTGGATTATTTCTGTGGCCAACATATGCAGACATTTGTACTCCTCAACCATTTTCTCAAAGTAATGGGCATTCTATAATTTAAACTTCAAAGAATTCCAACGATGAAGATTTTAAGAAAGTATTTTATATTCAACAGGTATATTCTGCTGCATGTACTGTACTCCAGAACTGTTATGTTACACTGTATATAAATGGTTGCAAAAAACAAAACAAAAACAAAAATATGTCAGTCCTTCTAAAAAGGATTTAAGATAATGGTTTTTAAGATGCCTTTATAAGCTTTGTTTCTTTGTGAAACTCATTCAGCAGGCTGAAGGAATTGGGTCATGTGATGAAGTGGGCTGGTGTCCTCTAGAGTACCTGGGTACATAACAGAAACTCCTGTAGGTGAAACCTGATTCGTGCCATTAGTCTATATGTCTCTGCATCCAGATAGAGTGCAGCTCAAGAGGGTGGGGGTGGGGGTCTCTGGGGGAAAGGGCGTTAAAGTGATACATTTTTATACCAAATGTGTTTATTTTTTTGTGCGAGTAATCCTTAAATTGGAATTGTATTAGGTGTTAAAATAAAGTTTTTAAAAAAATAACTTGTATTTATACTTTACACATTTAATTATGAAAATTTCTTAATTGCAATTTATTTCTAATTTTCATACTCAAAAATATTAGACGTTGGCATGCAGAATGCTATGTAATCTATGATTTCTATAATAATGGTTGGAGATTGTGTTATGAGAATAAGGGAAGGGCATTTTAAATGTAAATTTGAAGTGTCAAATGTATTTTTCTACACCATTTCTCTGCTTTGACTCTAAGGGATATAAAAGGAACTTAATTACAGCAGATAAAATGAAAATACTGGCTGTAGATCTTTGGACTGGCAGCAGTGTGGTCAGTATGACTAAAGAGACCTTAAAATTTGGCTCCATTTTTAATTCTGTGGTGTAGTTATGTGGCAGTTAATTCAAGTCTTAAGTCACTCTGGGCTTTGTGAAACCAAAGTAATGCTGCTTGCAGGATGTCTTCAAAGCACTCCCAAGGTCTCATTCTATAGGTGCTGTTTAGATGATGGACTCTGCATAGTAAAGGGTTTGTCTGAAATATGTCCAGTAGATGGGTGGAAAAACTGTTGAAACTTCAAAGATGGTTATTATAGCATACTTCTTTTATATTGAAATGTATGAAATCCATCAGATTTGTGCTTTAATGAAGCCCATTTATGAATCTTTTAGAGCTTACTCAAAAGGCAGTGTTAAATATGTGTAGTGCTACCTAAAGGATATTTGATGGATTGTAGGAGCCTCGCCCAGCTGTAAGTTCCGGGAGTGCTGAGCGGCCATAGGCTACCTTTATAACTGTCGTTGGCCCTGAAGACAGGCTCATCTGGGCCCTAGGATTTAATATCTTCAAGGATGTTATAGTGTTCTCATGAAGCTTTTGTAATCCTTTGAGCAATGTATACAGTTGTGCTCTACTAGCCCGGTCCTGTGCTATCTGGAGATGCTTAGATGAAAGGCATTTCATTCTGTACTCACAGTGTGAGTCTTCTAGACTCTGTCACTCTTAGAGCCGGCCGGCGCGAGGACATCGCCGCATTTTGAGAGAGTGTTCCTTGTGAAGTCAGGAGCACCCCTGCCTTCAGTTGGAACAGATGCTCCTCCTTTCTAAGTTCTAGTTACTGAGTCTCTTAGAAATCACGGTAGCAAGCTCTGAGCTCAAACACTGACTCTCCTGTGAACTATATAAGGAAATACACCAAAATTTTACATTAAATATTTAGAAATGAGTCAAACCTGTCACTAAATTATACAGCTATGTATATATGTATATACATACATACTTACGGCCAAACATGGAACTACCTCATTAAAGCAACACTTGCAGTAATTAATATTCTTTGTCACATTTACACCAAGGACATTCAGAATCTTTGTTGTACCAAACTTCTGTAACAGTGGGCGGCACACAAGGCCCAAGGTGAATTCACAGTTTATAGGGGGTAAAAAATGAGGCCTTACTGCTGTAGTGTATATGAAATGTTCATGGTGACACATTTGAAGCAATAAATGGCTTAATTAAATGCCTACATGAAGCTGAGTGTTTGATAACCGTATAATCATTCTTTTTTAAGGGTAGCCAGATTCTTGGCTCATTTCTTCTTTAAAGCACACTTAATGTATTTTTAGGTTTTTCACGAGGTTAGTTTTGTATGTTTGTCCTTTGCCCTTGGATTTTAGAAATAGATTGCTTTATTCAACTAATTAACTTTAATCTTAGACAAATCGTTGTTGAACTTAGATTGTAAGGGGCAAGCGACTTGGTATGCAGACTTAGTATGCAGTGTTCTTTCTCAAATTAAAAAAAAAAAAATCTTCCAGCAAAGATTTTAAGAGAAAACACGCAAAAATAGCTATATAACTTTATAAACATTAGGCTCTTAGATGTCTAGAATGAATCCCACTAAGGAGGGTATGTTGCTGTGAAAAGTGATGGGTCAGCGTGCTGACAAACAATTGTGATATGTTGGTAGGTGCTCTACTGAATGTAGAAAGCACTGTGAGAACATTGGAAGGCAGCGAAATTGATTACTGCAGCAGAGAAGGAGCCCGAGGGATGAATCGCTTAGACTGAATCCTAAAAACAAAGCATATGCATCCTAGGGGCACCAGGGAACGACAGTGTGTGGACCCCAAGTCGGTAGATGCCATGTCTAGAGGAATCCAGAGGCTGAGCAGCCCTGGATTTAAGAAGAGCTTTAACCAAGGAGTAGCTTGTAATTAATAGAAGGGAGAATTTTTACCTGTGATTACTTAACCATAATTGTGGCTAAAAATTATTAATAACAAAAAGCATGAACATCTTCAAAGTGGCCTGCAGCTTGAAATTACTGTCAAGTTTAAGGTAGCTCTATATTCTTTCAGGGAGTAGGGGTCACAAAACCAGTGCACGCTGAGAACAGAGAACAAGTTTGTGGAATGGGTTCTCTCCTTCCACAATTTGTGGGTTCTGGAGATCCTAACTCAGGTCTTTACCCCCTGATCCATCTGGTCAGCTCTACCCATCAGTTACAGAACAGCAAATTAAAATTGCAAGTCAGATTTATGAATTTCCTTATTTAGAGGAGACTCTATTGTAGAATCAGGTTTTGATTTTGACCTAATAAAATATCTATGATTTGATTCTCTTTGAGAAATGTTGATTTAAAGATGACTTTAGGTTTTTGTTTTTAATTGAAATTTGATAAGGAAGAACTACATTCCTTTCTGGGTGTTTGTTTTAAAGTAGTAAGTCGCATATGCTTTGGGAGTTAATATTCTAACCTTTTGTTACAAGCTTCAGCATGATTAGAGTCTTTATTTGAAAGAACTTTATTAATTTCCTTCATATAATCTGCAGAGTCATAACTCGGTTTTTGGCTAATCCAGTGTTCCTTTTTACTTTCTGTATCCTAACAAAGGAAACCTAGAGGAGAACATTATAATTCGTTTTTACTTTCCTGCTGCTTAAAAAACTGAACATTTGCTGGGACATAGAGCTGATGTGGGGGCCGCACATAGCCTGTTGCTGTGTTCTCACTCCCATTCCACATGTCCGTTTGCCATTGTTAGGAAAGAAGAATCGCTCTGCTGAGGAAGCCGTGTGCCTGCTAGCTTTAAAGATGAGCTCATTTAAAACACAGCTCTTAATGCAATAGCAGGGAAGGGGGGAAATGGTGACCATGACTTAATGCTTTTGCATTGTTAGGTTTGCTCCAGAAGAGGCAGGCTCAATACTAGGACATTAAAATAGGGACAATTGGAGTAGGTGCCAAATGACAGGAGGTGGCTGTACTTGGTAAATGCAATGTAATAATTCAGCCAGACATGCTTCTGCATAACCCTGCATGGAAATATGAGGCAGCTGCTAACAGCTGGCAGTAAGTTTTAGTTTGTTTTCCCTGGTATGTAAACTAGAATTTACCAAAATAAATATCCCTGTCCTTGAAGCATTTGCATATTGCTCTGGAATGGAACCAGTTACTTTCTTGAGTTTGAGGGACTGATTATAAAGCTAACTTATTCTGGATGTCCCAGTTGTGCACAGAGTGTTTTTACTTTACTGGTGTTTGTTATTTGCAGATGTCTTAAAGAGAAATTCACTTTTATGTTGATAAATAAGCACAAGTATTGATCTTATGGCTTGCATCAGAAATGGAATGAACCTTTGTCATGTACATCCGACTGAAGAACACATTCTGTTCAAGAATGCTGCCTTCTTATCCACCCAGACTCCCTAAATGGAGGCCAGCATTCATGAGCCACAGACAACCTATACCCTTGAAGCTTGTGACAAGTTTAATGCTGTAAAAGTCTCAAAATACCTTTCATTTTCAGAAAATGGAAATAAATGCTGAGTTACATAAAAGGAAAAGAAAGATGTGAGGCAGGGCAGAGAGGGAGAATGAGAGGGAAGGATGGAAGGAAAAGCATAATCACATAGCCGTTCTATAACATGTAAAAAAATATACTATAGTTTCTGAAGAATCCTGTATCCCAAATCTATAGAAAAGACAAATGAGATTTCTATTGGTAGTATAATTTGATATTTTCTTATAACAAGAGCTAAATGTATTAACATTTTCTATAGAACACTTTTTTCTTTTTCTTAATTTATTATTTATTACAATGTATTCACTTTGTATCCCAGCTGTGGGGCCCTCCCTCATCTCTTCCCAGCCCCATCCTTCTTCTCCCTCTTTGACCCTCCCCTAATCCACAATAGGAGAGGTCCTCCTCCCCTACAATATGACCCTAGCCTATCAGGTCTCCTCAGGACTGGCTGCATCCTTTTCCTCTGTGGCCTGGCAAGGCTGCCTTCCCAGGGGGAGGTGATAAGAAAGATTTCTGGCTCCTTGCCAGTGTGTGAACTTCTGCCCTAAGGTAAAACAAATGAAGTCACCCACTGACTAAATGTTCCCATCCTTTGAGCCCAGTGAGGCAAGTAATTCTCTCTCTCTTCTCTGTTTATCTGTCCATCCAGCCCAATCCATGGATAGATGTGTATATAATATTTACATTGGAGGGGTTATATTGTTTTGTTTGGTATTTTGAAACAGTGCCTCCCTCTATAGATCAGGCTGGTATTCACTGTGTAGCCCAGGCTGTCCTAGATTTTGTGCTGATCTTCCTGCCTCAGCTTCCTGAGTGTTTAGACTCTGGACATATACCACCATACTAAGCCTACATATAATTTAAAGAATGCAAATGTGAAAGGCATTTAAGAGGCTTAAAGGAAGCTCTATGGCCATAATTAACATGTGGGGGAGGAAAAAAGCTGCAAAATTAGGAAACTGCTAAAAATCTCAGAAAAACTGACCATGCCTCTGCTGATGTACTCACTATCCTAATGTAAGGAATAGACAAATCTCAGGCAGCCACAAGTGGGAATGTGCTACTGCCCCTCCATTTAAATTTTTAATTCCTCAGCTGTAGCAGTTTTTGGCTTTTTTTTTTTTTTTAATCTTTGATTTTTTTGGAACTGTCTTCATTAGAGGATAGGGTTAATAGCAACTGTGG